CAAGGGAGACATGAATACTCATGTTATGATGGGAATTAAAAACAAATAACAGCTTTGAGAATTAACTCAAGCTTAAGCTGTAATTTAGAACTGTAAGTAGCATAATTAAAGTATAAAACCTGATAGTAAACTTTTTAATAAAGATAACAAACCGGTATCAAACTTTTCTGCTCTCTGAAAAGAACAAAATCATTTGTTTTGACGTGAGCTAGAAAGGAGTGAATACAGTCAGTGAAGAAAAGCAGTTCTCAATTGTTCAAAAACAAGCTTTTCTTTCCAATAGGTAGTTTTTAAATGCTTAGACTCCTTCAAAGGTTCCTCTTCTTTTTAATTTAATCTCTTTTATTTTTATTTTACTTTATTAAGATACCATGATTTACAAAATTATTTATAGTTGAGTTTTAGACATACAATTTTCCAGCACCAATTCCATTACCGGTATTAAATTCCCTCCACCAATGTTCCCAGGTTCCTAGGTCATTGACAGGCACTTTATAAGTTCAGCTAGTAAAGTTTGGGTCTCATGAGTCCAGTGTTCTTGACTCTGGAATTTGGCTCCATCATTCCTGAACGCCACTGTTGTACCTGAATCCTCAACCCACCTGATTCTCATGAATCAATCATGAGACCCAAAGAACTCCGCCCTACCTGTCAACTTGACAGGCACGTTACATGAATTAGAGCCGTACAGCATTCATTACAGAGTCTGTGTTGGAAACCACTGCCAGCTTTACAGCCCTCAGGAAAAATCTTCCCTCTGGGTCACATCTTTCACTCTTAGCCCCAGCTCCTTGCTGCTTCAAGCACGATAGCACAGCGGGTAGGGCGTTCGCCTTACAAGCGGCCAACATGGCCGACCCGAGTTCGATTCCTCCGCCCCTCTCGGAGAGCCCGGCAAGCTACCGAGAGTATTCGATATGCCAGACACAGTAACAACAAAGTCTCCAATGGAGACGTTACTGGGCCCGCTCGAGCAAATCGACGATCAACGGGAGGGCCTTTACCTTTACCTTTACCTTTAGTGAAACACCATGAGGTACAGTTTTGGAAATTACAAGTGTTTGTGCTTGGGTTTCAGTTATACAATGATCAAGTACCCATCCCTCCACCAGTACCCATTCTCCACCACCAATGATCCCAGTATCCCTTCCACCCTCCCATCCCCCCCATCCCATCCCACCTCTGTGGCAGGGCATTCCCTTTTGTTGTCTCTCTCCTTTTGGTTGCTGAAGTTTGCAAAAGAGGCATTGAGTGGCAATCATGTTCAGTCTATAGTCTACTTTCAGCATGTACTTCCCATCGTGGGAGGATCCTCACAACACCCTTTATTCAGTGTTCCCTTTTCCGTCTGAGCTGCCCTTTCCCCTAGCATGTGCCTTCAAGCCATAGAGTGAACCTCCTGGTACTTATCTCGACTATTCTTGGATGTTAGTCTCCCATTTTGTTACTTTTATTCCCCAGATGAATGCAATCTTTCTATGTCTGTCCCTCCCTCTCTGACACAATTCACTTAGCAGGATACAAGTACCACTTGTATGTAAATTTCATGACTTCTTCTTTTCTAACAGCTGCATAGTACTCCATTGTATAGATGTACCAAAGTTTCTCTAACCAGTCATCAGTTCTCAGGCACTCAGGTTTTTTCCAGATTTTGGCTATTGTGAACAGTGCAGCAATGAACATAGAAGTGCAGATGTCATTTTGACTGTACTTTTTTTGCCTCTCTGGGATATATTCCCAGGAGTGGTATTGCTGGATCAAATGGGAGCTCAATTTCTAATTTTTTGAGAATCGTCCATACTGTTTTCCGAAAGGGCTGAACCAGTCGGCATTCCCACCAGCAGTGAAGAGTCCCTTTCTCGCCACATCCATGCCAACACCAATTTCCTTTGTTCTTTGGGATGTGGGCCAGTCTCTGTGGTGTGAGATGATATCTCATTGTGGTTTTGATCTGCATCTCCCTGATGATTAGTGATGTAGAGCATTTTCTCGTGTGCCTTTAAGCCATTCGGATTTCTTCTTTGAGAAAGTTTCTGTTCGTTTCATCACCCCATTTTTTTGATGGGGTTGGATATTTCAAGCATTTTTTTTTTTTGCTTTTTGGGTCATACCCGGCGATGCACAGGGGTTACTCCTGGCTCTGCACTCAGAATTACCCCTGGCGGTGCTTAGGGAAACATATGAGCTGCTGGGAATCGAACCTGGGTTTGCCGCGTGCAAGGCAAATGCCCTACCCGCTGTGCTATTGCTCCGGCCCTCAAGCATTTTTTAATTAAAGTATGTACATGGGGGGGGGGGGTGTTACTTACCATTGCACTTAGTGGATAACGGCATGGTATAAATGTAAGTTTTTGGTGCACTAGAAATAATGAAGTTGTGTGTCTAACGTTATTGTGATCTTTGCTTCATTGCATTATTCTAGAACATGAATCTATAGTTTTCCCATTGATAGAAATGTATATTTTGTAGCAACTATAGCTAGTTCCTTATATATTTTATAGACTAATATCTTATAGTTTGTATTGGCTGTTACTAACTTATAGTGAATTCTATTTTAATTTTTTAAGTATGCTGTTTTTGATTAACTGAAACTTTACAATGTATTCTAATTCATCTATTTCCATTATGGTTAAATGTATTTTTTATATTGCTTGAAAACATATTCCGTGGGGCTAAAGCAATAGTACAATGGGTAGGACACTTGCTTTGCATGTGGCTGACCCAGGGTCAAACCCCTACACTACATATGGTCCCCGAGGACTGCAAGGAGTAAACCCAGAGTCAGGTGTAATCCTGAGCACAGCTGGATGTGGCCCAAAAAAGCAAAAAAGTATATTATTATGCATATATATTTATATGTGCACCACGCGGCCCAGCTTCTACCTGGGGAAGCCGGTTGATGTCCAGGCTGAGCAGCTGCTGCTCCTCCTCCTCCTCCTCCCCCCTCCTCCACCTCTCCCCCCATCCCCCCCATAGGAGCCCAATGCCTGCTTGCGGTCCTTCTTGGGCTGGTCTTCTTGATGGGGTGGGGGGCGCTTCCTGGGGAGAGGGCGGGCCCTGATGGGTGTGGGCACCAGCCCGGAACTTCCTGTCGTCGTCTCCCGTGGCCTTGTGCCACTCCTTGTCCTTGTCCTTGTTCTTGTCCTTGTGCTTCTTCTCCTCCTCCTTCTCTTTCTTCCTCTTTGGCTTGTTCACAAGGGCCTGAGACAGCGCTGCTATCTGCTCCTGCATCTCTGCCAGATGCGTGGCTTTTTCCTCCTCCCAGTCGGAGTCCAACCAGCTCTCTTGACTCTTGTGGCTGCTGTCTGCGCCCTGGCTAGTGGCCAGGACTGCGGGCGCAGGCGCAGCGGGCACACCCTCGGGCTCATCCTGCATCTTAGCAAAGCGCATCTCAAACACGTTCTGCAGCTTCCTGGCCAAGGCCACCACCTCGTGGTCAGGAGGGTTGTACTTATAGCAGTTGGAAAACATCAACCGGATGTCAGCCGTGAAGCCCTGGGCATCAGGCTCGTGGCAGACTGTTTTCACTTGGGCGCCCCAGAGAGGGGTGAGTGAGAGCCCTCCTGCCCCCAAGGGACCCAGGCATGGCAACCGTTCTCCACTACCCACCCTCCGCCAGGCTCCAGGCCGCTTTACACAGGCTCAAGCCGAGCCTCACATATGATTGAACATATTCTTGATATTCTTGGACCAACATAACATCATAAGACACTCCTTACCCATTTTCCATAATTACCACTCCATATATGATAGAGAAATATATATGTGTGTGTGTATATATGTGTGTGTGTATATATATATACATATATATATATATATATATATATATATATCACAGCGGGTAGAGCATTTGCCTTGCACGTGGCCGACCCAGGTTCAAGGCCCAGCATCCCATATGGTCCCGAGCACTGCCAGAAGTAATACCTGAGTACAGAGCCAGGAATAACCCCTGAGCATCGCCGGGTGTGACCCCAAAAAAAATTTTTTTTAATTTTTAAAAGTCTTCTTTGGGCTGGAGTGATAGCATAGCGGGTAGGGCGTTTGCCTTGCGTGCAGCCAACCCAGCCAACCTGAGTTTAATTCCTCCACCCCTCTCAGAGAGCCCAGCAAGCTACCAAGAGTATCTCGTCCACACGGCAAAGCCTGGCAAGCTCCCCGTGACGTATTCGATATGCCAAACACAGTAACAACAAGTCTCACAATGTTACCGGGCCCACTCGAGCAAATCGATGAACAACGGGAGGACCTTGACCATAATATATATATATATATATATATATATATATATATATATATATATATATATGAGCCCAGCAAGCTACCGAGAGTATCCCGCCTGCACAGCAAAGCCTGACAAGCTAGCCGTGGCGTGTTCGATATGACAAAAACAGTAATAATAACAGGTCTCATTCCCCTGACCCTGAAAGATCCCCCAATACATTGGAAAAGAGGAGTAAGGAGACGCTTCTAAAAATCTCAGGGTTGAGATGAATGGAGACGTTACTGGTACCTGCTCGAGTAAATCGAAGAACAATGGGATGACAGTGATACAGTGATATATTTATATATATTCTTTTCCTGAAGTCATTAATATTTTTTATTATATTTTCTTCTAAAAGCCTAGATCCTTCATATTTATGTCTCATCTATTTAGAATTGATTTTTCCGTGTGGGGATAGGGAACTTAGTATAGGTGCTTGTGCAGTTTACTATTCAAATTACACAGAATTTAAACCAAGAAGTATTAAATACTATATTAACAATTCAACTAAGTATTTCATTTGACTAAAAAACGATTTTTATTATATTTTCAGTGTTTGGAGATGCCTATTTATAGAATGCTATCTTTTGTTTTTAACCTAAAAAAAGGAAGGGGAAAAAAAGAGGGATGGGGAAGTACTAAAGGAAAAAAAGCAGGAAAAAAGCAAAAGCACATTTAACTTAAATATCTCAGTGATGAGAAATTCCTATAACTCTTTCACCAAACCCTTCCTGAAACCATGTGGTTCTTTACTGTTGAGTATATTAATGATCAGTTTACTAACATCCAACTCACTTCGGATACGTGGAAGAAACTTCATTGCCGAATTCCTTTAAGAACATCATCATGTCAAAGAATGAAGTGAGAGTCAACTAAAGACCTTCAATCTGTTCAGACACTTCCTGGAGAATACTCTTCTACCAAATCCATCCCAAGATTTCATTTCCCTCATCTCATTAATAAAAACATATCACCGTATCCCTGTCACTGTCATTCCATTGTTCATCAGTCTACTCAAGTGAGTGCCAGTAACGTGTCCATTCATCACAGCCCTGGGATTTTAGCAGCCTGTCCTTACTCATCTTTCCCAACAATTGGAGGCTCTTTCAGGGTCAGGGGAATGAACCTGTTACTGTTACTGTTTCTGGCATATCGAATACTCCACGGGGAGCTTGCCAAGCTCTGCCATGCGAGCAGGATACTCTCGGTAGCTTGATATATATTTTATATATATATATAAAATTTCCCTTTATGAGTCTTATGATGTGTTGCATGGCTGTGAAGTGGCTGTGCAGTCCAGGTATATGTTCACTCAATAAAATAAAAACATAAAAGAATTAAAATATTAGTCTCTTCTCTGCGTGGAGACAGGAGTATAAATTTTACTCAGATTGAATTTGGTCAGTCTTAAGGGGTTCCATTGCAAGGGAAACTCTAAGATGGACACATGTGGGATTTAGACATTGTATTTATCACATGATATGATAAATGTTGGATCAAGGAAATCACTCCTTTGAGAAGAAAACCATTAAAAATTATAAATATATTATCTGTGAAGTCCTGAGATTTCTGGGTTCTTTATTTATTTTGGATATTACCCTTTGGGGTAATATGAATATACTCTCCTGCTCTTACTTTTTACTGAAATAACTGATTGCTTTTGTTTGAATCAGTTTTTGTTTCCTAGGCAACAAAGTACCACAAAATGGGTGACAAGGTGAATTACAAAAAAAAAAGAAATTTGTATTGTCACTGAGGATTTTAAGATCAAGGTGTTCACAAGGCTTGTTCTTTCTGAAGTTGTGAAGGGCAATCTATTTATACTTCTTACCTGTTTTTCTGCAATCTTTGCCTTTTTGTTTATTTGGGGATGTTTTGTTATTTTGTATAAATAAATAACCTTGTAGTGCTCAAGGGTTACTCCTAGCTCTGCGCTCAGGAATCACTCCTGGCAGTGCTTAGGGGACCATATAGGAAGCCAGGATCAAACCCAGGTCAGCCACATGCAAGGCAAGCACCCTACACACATTACTATTACTCCAGCTCCAATCTTTGATTTTTTGTGACTTGTAAATATACATCACCTGTTCTCTAAGTTCATCAATGCATAATCGTTCTTCCTCTGTGTGTGTACGTATGTATGTACCTGTGGAATATAATGTCCTGTTTATGAGGACACTAGTCACACTGGATTAAGATCCCCTAATTACCTCATTAATTACCTCTATGGTGACCCTATAAGTTTACTTTCAGAGATATTGGGACTTAGACTCTTACTATCTGAAAAAGATGTTTTTTCAGAGTGGTATGTGTATTCAGTCAAACCCATGCCAAAAAGTAAAATCAATGACTTAATTTATGTAGGAATAAACAACTAGAAAAGGAAGAGCAAGCAATAATAGAAATGTACAGAAAGCAGGAAATTGGAGCAGAGATTACTAAAAGAAGCACAATCGACCATCCCAAATCCTCCAAGTTAACGGAAGTGAAGTCACCATATTCAAGATGGGGACTTTGGCCAATTCATATTGTTGTCAGTGAGGTTGTAGCTGAACAGAAACCTTAAGAATTAAATCCATCTATCATCAGTCATGTTAGCAAGGTCCATAATGGTAAACACTAACCAGGACAGAATCTTGTTAGCTAATTTCAAGCATTTTCTTGCTTGGACTTGGACACTGAAATAAAGAGCCACCCCCTCCTTTATTAAGGCAAAAATGTACAATAAATGAGGTCATACATCAGGAGATAACCCCCTCCAGCGATATCTTTTATAAATCTACAATTCTGTCACTACAAAGTTACCTAATCTCCTCAAGGAAAAGCTTTGTCATCAGAAATTAAGTTCTTATTGCCTCTTTAGGTAGGAGTTCTTTGCTGTTTTCAGGTAACAAAAAATATCTTGTATTGTTGATTATATAAACTCCTAATCAGCCCTGAGGACCAGAATTTCCCTTTGATCCAGAGCCCATTACACCCAAGAAAAGTAAACCTTTTTTTATTTCTTATGAAATTTTATTTTTTATGTTGTGATTTATTTTTTATTTTGATGCTATTTTTATATTCCTTTCCATGCTATTTCATTTTCACTTTCTCATTCTTATGAGTCTCCTGCCTATGCGCCTGGATGTCCTCACCAGGGCCCCTTGGATGGGGGTGGGTTCAGTTTCCCTCCCCACCCCGAGCAGAGCCCCAGCAGCTGAAGACCTCCGGGTCTAGCCATAGCCATGCTTAAAACCACTTTCCACACGTTTGGACGAGCCTCACGCATGAAGGAACTGACCGAGGAACCCAGGTGTGCGGGACCTGGGGCATAGATCTCCAAGCCTGCTTGAATTGGGATTGGGGTCTCCTCCACCCAGATCCCCCATCTTCCAGTATATAGGCATATCTGCCCCCGGTGCTGTGTAATCCCATCAATGGCCAAGACCCAGAGACTATAAAATCCTGCTCCCAGAAGCGCACGGCCTCGACATCTTATCATCTAGTTCTTACTCTGGAGAACCTGGCAGGCTACCAAAAGTATTCTGCCCACACGACAGAGTCTGGCAAACTCCCCATGGCATGTTTAATATGCCAAAAACCAGTAAAATGATGGGTCTCATTCTCCTGGCCCCAAAAGAGCCTCAAATGTGGCACTTTTTAAAATCTCAGTGCTAGGACAAAGGACCCATTACTGGGGCCTGCTCGAGGCAATTGATGAACAATAGGAAGACAGGAATACAGTGATGCATTCTTATATTTGGACCTACCAGTGACCACAAGATTTTCAGTCCACCGCTGCTAGAGTCAATCAGTCAAGAGACAAATTGACAAAGTAAGAAGGAGCATTATTGGCAGCAAACCAACAGGTTAAAAGATAAAGAACACTGCTGGAGATCTCTCCGGACCCCTTACCAAGCCAATTCCACGAGGGCACCTCAGATGTAGCAGGTGTGCCCTCTCTGCTTGCTCCAGATGAAAGAAACCCCGATGGCCACGAGCTTCCAGAAGCAAAACCCATCTAGTGGGTTCAGGGACTAAGACTGTAGGCCACATGGCAGCGGAGACGGGCCATCCCTTCCCATCTCCCCACCTGCTTGGGGATGTCACACCCACCCCAGAAACTGCCTCCAGGCACCATCTCAGTGCATCAACAGCCTTGTTCCAGAGACTCCCAAATGAATCTCAAAATGAATTAGTTCCCTACCAAGAAGTCTCTGGACCCCAACCATTTACAATTTTAGAATTCCAGAAGCGCATGGCTGCTTTTGCGGCCACACAACCTCTCATGATATTCATAATAAGCAATAGAAAATAAGTTATCTAACATCTGCCCCTGGCAGGCAGGCTTTAATGGTGGTGGAAAAATTCTAATTAATGGTGGTGGGAAGGTGTAATGATGGTGGGATTGGTGTTGAAATATTGAAAGCAATCAATTAATGTGATCAACCTTATGTAAATAAAATTTTTAAAAAAGAGAGAAGTCAGGTCCTCAAAGTAACTATCTTGTCTACATATCCATAAGGAGCCATGTTTATAGAGAACTGGACAGCAGTTTTCTAGAAAGGATGGGCATCATACAAATAGGTAGAAAAATGAACAATAAATTCCCTAGGGTTCTGTTCCCCTGAGGCACACTCTCTTATCTAAAAAACCTATTGTAAGGGTTAAGATTTGGGGAAAGTATCATGTTAAGTGAAATGAGTCAGAAAGAGAGGGACAGGCATAGAAAGATTGCACTCGTCTGTGGAATATAAAGAAACAGAATGGGAGACTAACACCCATGAGTAGTAGAGATAAGGACTAGGAGGTCTGCTCCATGGCTTGGAAACCAGCCTCACATGCTGGGGTAAAAGGCAGCTCAGATAGAAAAGGAAACACCAAGTAAAGGATGTTGGGAGGACCCATTCGGGTTGAAAGATGCATGCCAAAAGTAGACTATAGACCGAACATGATGGCCGCTCAATACCTCTATTGCAAACCACAACACCCAAAAGGAAAGAGAATAAAAGGAAATGCCCTGCTGCTGAGGCAAGGTGGGATGGGGGTTGGGGTGGTAGGAGGGATTCTGGGAAAATTGGTGGTGGAGAATGGGCACTGGAGGAGGGATGGGTAAACGACCATTGTATGACTGTAATGTAAACACAAAAGTTTGTAAGTTTGTAACTGTACCCCACAATGATTCACTAATAAAAATTTTGTTTTAAAATTAAATAAATAATAAAACTGGACAGCTACATGCAAAAAAGTGGGCTCAGATCTCTGCCTAACGCCATGCACAAAAGTAAGATCAAAATGGATTAAAGACCTCAACATCAGACCGGAATCCATAAAGTTCATTGAAGACAAAGTTGGCAAAACCCTCCATGATATTGAAGCTAATGGTATCTTCAAAGATGTCATGCCACTGGCCAGGCAAGTGAAAACAGAGATAGACAAATGGGGCTATCTTAAACTAAGAAGCTTCTGCACCTCAAAAGAAACAGTGACCAAAATACAAAGACAGTCTACAGAATGGGAAAGGATATTCGCCAAATACACATCCGACAAGGGGTTGATATCAAGAATATACAAGGTACTGGTTGAACTCCACAAGAAGAAATCACCCAACCCCATCAAAAAATGGGGTGAGGAAATGAACAGAAACTTTTTCAAAGAAGAAATTCGAATGGCAAAAAGGCACATGAGAAAATGCTCTACATAACTCATCATCGGAGAGATGCAGATCAAAACAACAATGAGATGTCATTTCACACCACAGAGACTGGCCCACATCCACAAGAACAAAAGCAACCGGTGCTGGCACGGATGTGGCAAGAAAGGGACCCTCCTTCACTGCTGGTGGGAATGCCAACTGGTTCAGCCCTTTCGGAAAACAG